TGTTTGTTTTTGTTTTTTTGTATACTCAGCTCTCTGCCCTTTTTCTCTGCATAAACTGTTTCAGTTATCTCTTGCTCTCTATCTTTTTTGCTTGATTTCCCTTCATTTCATTTTTAATTTTTCTCTTCTGTCTATCTTCTCCTCCCCTMCCCCCATTTTTTAAATACTCGGTTTCTGTAGAGGATTTGTCACCTCTKTTTAGCATTCTTTCTAAAAAGGGCTTGTTTCTGCTAAAATGAGGTTTAGAAAGACACGCGTTCTTATGCTGCATCCGCACTGATTACARACGCTAATAATATCGCAAGTGCACTGTGACTCGGTAAACTCTCTTTTCCCAATCTCTATAAATGAAGAAAAAAAGCTTGAACCAAWGTCATCCAATAGTGGCTATTAGTTACCTGGACGAAACACAATTTCATTTTATTCATAAAATAAAATGGTTCACAAGCGTCTTAAAGAGCCTGCTCGAATCGATTTAGTATCTATTTCACAGAAAGCCGCCCTTACAATTACCCGGCCTCACAGAAAACGAGTTCYGATTTAATAACTGATAGTTAGAAAGTGAAAAAGCCGAATAGTATACTGTGCGGGAACGTGCGTGGTTAATTAGGTTATCGCTGAGACGAAAATTGCACATGTGGATTGCTAAAAATCAAGATAATTTTGCCTCGTGGCTAGGCCTTAATGACCGGATCCTACTGCAAGGAGGATCCCAAATGGATAAATGGGAGCTTGGATTCGTATTTTTGGGTTGGGAAAATGGATCGATTTTATGCACTGGGAATGGGATTCAAAAAAAAAAAAAAACAATCAAAAAATTGCATTGGGATTGAGATTCTAGCTGGTCTGAAAAAAGTGCTCTGTGTGGTTATTTTTTGAATTTTACTGGTGGGGGAAAACATCTTGAAACGGGCTAAATTCAAAACAAAAACCACACAGAGCGAAAGAAGTGTCATTTTTCAATGATCAGGTAAAATTTCGAGCTTTATTTCACAATTCAATGATTTTATTGAAATGTTTATGATACGAGTGAAAACATAATTCAAATTAATGAAATTTAATTTAACTTTAGGAAATAGAATCTCACCTTTTCCACAGCGTGTGCAAAAACCATTTTTCTCTTCTAATTCATTGCCACAAATAGTACAAAATGGCTCCATTCCATCACGCTTCACTGTGGGGTACAGGGGTGAGGAAGATTTTGTCGACAATATTTTACCCCCTGTCACCTTAAACATTTGGTTCCCCGTGTTACTCTGAAAGGATTCAATTCTGTGTTGTGCCGTGGCTTTGTGTATTTTGCCGTGAGTGAAATTGTGTAGTGCCGTGGAAATTTGTTATTTTGCCGTAAAAAATTGCGTAGTGCCGCAAAGATTGGTTATTTTGCCGTGAAATATTGTGTAGTGTAGTGCCGTGACAATTGGTCGTTTGGCCGTGAATATTTTTTGTAGTGCCGTGTGATTTTGATTTGCCGTGACAGTTATGGGCCACCGCATGGGCCACGTACCGTAGGTAAGTAATTCTGAATCGTTTTCATTTAGTATTTTGCTATTTTAAACTGATGGCTTAAATTCAATTCGAATACCAAACGCTGWGAATTTTGGCGGCTGAAGTTGCGTGACCTTCCACTTATTATACACCGGGCAGTGAACACAGATTTTCGAACAGAATAAACCCTACAAAAACACAATTTCTGACAYCCAAAGTGTTCTTCAACTATCAAACGAGACCCTGGTACAGGGTACACTGGGCTAACTAGGACCAGGGTCTAACTATGTTATATGTCTCTATAAGAATATAACTGAAGCTTTTGAATATTCTTGGCTTTCACYTACATAATCTAAAATCTTCCCAAGRCTTATATACAACAAAACTTCTATAGACCAAAAGAGCAACGAAAACTTYATATCTCAGCCAAAGTACTAGCTAAAAGAAGCTTCAGATACGGAGATACGAGCGATTGATGATGCTCACCGATGCTCATAATTAAGTTGTATGGGCCTAAAAACATGGCGGCCGAACCACGAGGGCTGAAAATCATGTTCATATTGCAGCCACTTCAATATTTTAATAACAATAACAATCAAAATAAAGTTAACAAACATTTACTAAGTCAAAACGTATTATTTCAATCGAATTTCCCTCCTTCTAATGCCTTGAAAATGCGTGACATAATTGCGTGATAGAATTTAATTCGTAACAGATATCTAATGAGATGCAAAATACAGTGGAACCCCGCTCTAAGGACACCCGCTTAATAAGAACACCTCGTTATTAAGGACCGGTTTCAAATACCCAACGAAAGCTCCATACATTTTCTGTTAAATTAACCCGCTTTATAAGGACGCCCGTTAATAAGTACAAAGGACACATTTCTAGGACCTGAATGACAGTTCCATACATAATCAACCCCACATTAAGGACACTTGAAATTTGAAGACGTCTTTACTGTACTTTTTTATTGATATAATGAGCATAATACTGAATATATTGTCAGTTTTTGCGTATCAACGGACCACAAACTGATCATTGCAGTAGTGTTAAACAACCTTAGCAGGATCTTRAGAGAAGTTCAGTTAGTTTGGTTCAATCGGAATATTTTGAACTCTGTTCAAACAAAACTCACAGAGATTTCTTTAAATGAAATTATACAGCACAGTACAGTATAGTACAGAACTGATGATGTCGTGCTTGTACAGTAATGTACTTTTTGTTTAAGTTTAGGCTGTTGTATTGAACTATTGTAGCTGCAAGTGTGCTGCAAGAGTAAAAAGAAAGCAGTCAACAAACAAATCTCACAAACGTCTTTAAATGAAATTGTACAATACAATGCAGTATATGCAAATGTAGTTCTTGTACAGTAATGCATTTTTTTGTTCCCGTTYAGGCTGTTRTATTGACCATTGTAGTTCATGCTTTACAGTACAGTAAAAAATAATGGTTTAAAATGTGTTTTCAGCTGTTTTTCTGACACCTCGGTTAATATAATAKGGACACCCTGTTAATAAGGACAGTTTTGTCCGTCCCAACGGTGTCCTTATGAACGGGGTTCCACTGTATCAAATGAGATGCAAAACTTAAAAAGTAACTTATTTGATCTTATCAGGCCCGTAGCTAGGGGGGGTGCAGGGGGTGCGTTCGCACCCCCCCCCCACCCCCCACCCCCCACGCGAGCTAAAGGTCCGCTTTTTAAGCAAGTGAGATTTTGGCTGGTATGATATTTTCACGTAAAACTAAGTAAAAAAAATCAATTTTACTTTAATAATTTATCTATTCCTATGCGTCCTATGGGACTTTAAAAAAATATAGTATATGGTTGGTCCACTTTTTGTAAATTAGCACCCCCCCAACAAAAATCCTAGCTACGGGCCTGCTTATTTATCTTCTTTTGTATCAGAAACATAAGTATTACACAAACTCAAGTTAAAAAATTTATTCCACAAAATGTTGTGGCTAAGCAATCGTATTTACGCATGTTTTAAATTCTGCATCCCATTTGATATATTTCATCTCATTAAAATATGTGTATAAACGTATACTACAACCTTTCTGCAATCAAGTATACATATACACTTATTTCAATAAAGTTAGTCGCCAAAAACCTAGAAAGTTGAGATCACTGAGCATCATGGGAAACTYTTCATATCRAAAAAGCATGTACATACAAAGCTTTTTTAATACAAACTACAGCTCGATGATGCTCAGAAGAGGTGAGACTATAACCGGTAAAAGATGAGCAAGTCCATGAACAGTTATGAAGCGGTTGAACGTGTAAAATGAATCTACCCATAATCCTTGTCGGCCTCAGCTTTATAGCTTTTCAGGTGACTAACTTTATTGAAATAAGTGTATATACGCTCAACTGAAGAATCGTTGTYGGGTTCAGAAACATAGAACATAAAAGCTGAGACCGAAATGGCACATGGGAAATGACATATAATTAAATTTTAATTTATTCATTTGCGCCATCCATGCAGTCGGTTTAGAATGCCAAACGCGTATTAAAAACAGTGGATGATGCCACGGGTCGCCGGTCACAGCATGCATCTAATTAACGTACTTCCCATGTGCCATTTCGGTCTCAGCTTCTATGTTCTTTGTTTCGGAACCCGACAACGATTCTTCAATTGAGTGTATATATATACTTTGGCTTGCATAACTTTGACCCTTTTGTGCATATATACAAGTAAATAAAAAGTAAATCAAAACCCTTTTTATTAAAGTCACACGTGTGCTTCTCCTTACACTTCTTTCATGCTTACGCCATTTCCTGCTTGCTTTATTACTGAACGGAACACGGAAAACTGAGCTGTTTTATTTGTTAAATATTAGAATACTTATATTTATATTTTATTGATTCTATTGATTCCATAAATGACATAAATATGCATTTTTTTAAGATTGTACATTGATACTACTTATTTATTTTTATGCTGATGTGTTTTTATGCTGCATTATAACAGTTCATAAAGTATGACATGAACCTGAAGTGTCAACCCAGACCAGAGACCKCAAAAACTTCAAGAACTTCGCGATACGTACAAATCCGTGTCTTGATTGGCTGATTGCTCAAGTTGTTGCAAGGCAAGATACATGAGGTGTGTTACCCTGTGCAATGCTTCAGGTTTCTCATCAGTATTCGTTTTCTTTTAGAATGTGGATGAAAGCAGCACAGGATTACCGGAAACACAAACTGGTGTTCACATGTTTTGGATGCTCGTGTATAGCGATTCCTGTTTTAATCCATCGTGGTWTACATGGAAAATACGGAATAGGGTTTCATGGACTTAGCATTTTATTTTTAGGATTGCTTCCTTTCATTGCTTTATGGATTGCACTTAGACATCTAAAAACAAAGCGTTTGTGGCTTTCGTCATTAACAGTAGCTACATTGCTTTCGRCMTGTTTGGTTATATATTATCTTTCAAGTAACGGCCTTTGGTGCGCACAGCATCCAAACGTGASGCGTGAAATGTGCTCCAAACTTGTCCAGTTTGCGTCGTTTGCGGYGTCATCGAACGTSACATYATGGTGGTTAACCAKGGGTGAYCTTTTAGCTATCCAACGAGGCCGTCAAATGCCAATTCCCTGGGAGCACGATATTGATGTTTGCATTACACCTGAACAGTTTCCAATGTTTGAAAAAGCTCTCAGGTCAAATTTCGGCCTTTTCTATCCGGAGGCAGAAATCCTCGGGCCTGGGCACTGGTATCTACCCATCGACATGGCAARGCTGGGGCTTTCAAGTAGAGACGCAGAAGGCGTAAACATCGACATCTGGACTTGTCCGCAATTGCCTGGAAATATAACGCGCKTGCTTTATTGTAATGGCTTAATGAATGTTCCAGGGTCTTTGAACGATCGAAATGMGATATTGAAAAAAAGTTATGGAGACTACTCTGTAATCAAATACGCACACCACAATACAATGTGCAGAATTTGGAATAGTTGGTAATACAGAATGTATTTCAGTCCTCTAGCTTATTCTTGCCTTTCACCTAGCGTCATAAAAAATAAAATACAAACTATCCACTCCACAAAACTGTTTGTCGAAAATTTTTGTTAATTTTTTCACACGGTTAAACATGGCAAAGTAATATTGATTTTTTAAGTGCGGGTAGTACCCATTTCTCCTTACAGACCTGTTGAAACGATCAATAATGAGTGTCCGTTGTGACTATTGCTATGCACAAATACGTTGTTTATGACACATTAAAACAGACAGTACATTAATTTCTGTATGTTATTATACAAAATAGGTTCCAGATGTTATTGCTTTAAGTGCAAGTAGTACCCCTTTCTGCTCAGACCAGTTGAAATGATCAATACTGAGTGTCCGTTGTGACTATTGCTATGCACAAATACTTTATTCAGGGCACATGAAAACAGATAGTGCATTCATTTCTGTGGTTTGACTATTAGCTTTGGAGATATTTGAGGACAAAAACCAGGGTTTTACTTTCAGAGGGGGTGGGTACCGGGTAACCCCACCCCTCCCCTCTAAATCTGGTTCCGTTGTGTAGAACTTGTGCCTTGCTGCAAAGTGAGACAGTTTTTCAAAGTGTGATAGGTATTTACAGGTTAAATATTTTATTCAAAGAGTCACCGCTCACACTAGGATAGGTGCGCACCAACGATGGTCAAAGGCAGAAACGTAACTATTTACATATATCAAGAGAAGCCGCTTACTTTGAATAAAACTTTTCTCTACTTTAGTCGCCGGCCATAGAGATAAGGTTGCGTGACACTAGAYAGATTGAAGCCGGACACTACATGCAATGAACTAGCTTAAAAAAGTYCAGACGTTAGTATACGATATTCTATTTTCGGGTTTCCTTGTTTTCATTCAACCACAGGCAGCCCAAACAAACTGGGAATGGTTTATAACAAATGGTTCGGGAAAGTGTTTTATCTTATGCACACAATCTAACCAAGGCAAACTTGCTCCATACAACAAGTGTGTGGTGGCACTGATGATCAAATTAACTATTATTAGCAGGCAGCACACTAACCAACCAAGGCACACTTGCTCCTTTAAACAAGTGTGTGAGATCACTGAGGATCAAACTATGGACCTTTTGCTTAGCAGGCAGCACACTAACCAACCAAGCCACACTTGCTCCTATGAACTGGCATGTGA